GGGCCACCGAGCCCAGCTCCAAAATATCTTTTTGATTCCTCTTCCTTCTCAATGAGACCAGAGTACAACAAGACAATGGAATTAACCCATTCCTCTCTGTTAACAAGATGTACACAAGCAGTCCATTGCTTAGAAAACACTCATTATACATTTTTATGTATTTTTAAATTTTCCAACAAAGGTTTAAAAAATACTGGTGCATCTTGCCTTTTGTAATTGATAGAGCTATTAAAATTTTGGCTTTGTACATCAAATCATATTTTAAACACACAGGAGTAGGACAGTTCTTATGTACAGTGCTGATTAGATGGGTCTAAGTCAGACTCCATAACCTATCATCTTGATTTCTGCTCGACTGCCTGAAATCTCAATGTTAGAGTCGTAAAGGCTTTTCAGTTTGATTCAAGTGTAGAATCGTACAGATAGCTCTGTGAAGGGAAACATCTTTAGCCACTATTCCCTAAGGCTAACAGTAGTTATTTCTGAAAAAATTGCATCCAGTTCTTTAGGGAGGTTTGACCGATAGATCAGAGACACAAGGACCTTCCATTTTGGGTCACATAAAAGTTTTCTGGGCTTCAGATTCAAGGGGACCTGTAAAGGTGAGCGGTAAAGGTACACAGGATGGCACTCAAGTGACCTACACCAGTTTTGGTTACTTCTGGAGCTGATTGACTCTGCCCTCTGGACTCTCCTGTGGAATTCCTTTATCATGATCCTCTATATTAGACATAATGAAAGTCCATCGACGTATACTGGACGATCCAGTTTGAGCTTGCTGGGTTTGTTTTTACAATGGGACACACGTGTGGCCTCTCTCCACCAGTTCTAAACACCAGAGGCTAAAGTACCACTCTGTAGAGAGAGGTCTTGTGGGTCTGGGTTGTAGGGGGAGATTTCTCTTCATTACTCCTTGGGAATTGTTTAAACCTTAATCGCTCTTTCCTGTAGTGCGAAATGGTGCAAATGTTTTTCAAATTCAAGTTAATCAATGGTAATTTTATAATAGATTTTGAGAGCTACTTGGAGGTTCAGGTATTTCCTGGATTGGAAAAAGCCTTCTTTAAGAAAAAAAGAAATAGACCTTGGGTAAATCATGCCCAGGGAATCCCATGCAGAGGAGGTGATGCACCAGTCTGTGGTTGAGAGGATGGGAGACAATGCCACCAAGAAATGGAAATAGGCTGTTTGAGCACAAGCACATCTCTTTAAAGTGTTCTTGTTGCTGTGGGGACCTGATTGCCCTAATAACTCTGGTTCTATGGGCACAACGGCTGGTATTTAAAGTTATAAAGTACACTTCCAGGCAGGTACATGAAATGGCAAATTTGATAGCACAAACATAGAAATGCTGAACTTCAGAGAAATGGAAAGTCTAACAGTAATCTAGATTTCAGTTTAACTGCAGTGTTTCCTAAATGCACCCAAATGTGCTAGGATGGTAACCCAAAGCGACACACTCTAATCCTTGATAAAGGTTTCTCTTAACTCTACCTCAGGACAAATGTTCTTTAAACACTAAAATCTTTTACCATTTTCTTGTCTGTATCATCTGATTGAATAATAACCAATGAATGTAATCTATGTTGGATTGACCCTTTTCTGGCATTGAAATCCTCTTCTGAGCAAATTTCTGATATTTTCAAAAACCCAGGAGGGTCAACTAGCACTGCCCAATGAATGGACAGTATCACTGGAAAATTATTTTGCAGCCTATCCTTCCTTCTAGAATGGAAGAATCAGGAGGGTAACGGCATCTGTCTTAATTATTCTTGTACTTGGTAGTGGTGCCAGCAAGGTTCCTGCTATGCAACAGGTTCTTAGTTAGAAATGAGTAAGGAGATGAATGACTGACTTAATGAATGAATGAGTATCACTTATCCCTTGGGTGGGTAAGTCATGCCCAGGGAAACCTGTGTAGAGGAAGTGATACACCAGGAGAGAGGAGGAAGGACAACGCCATTGGGAAATTAAGCTAGACTGAGCACATCACATCTCTTCAAAGTGTTCTTTCTGCTGCAGGGACCCGATGGTCCTAGTAACTTGGGTTCTATGGGCAAAATGACTGGTGTCCAGTCATGACTCCCAAGGTCATGTGTTCAACATTATCTGGTCAGATCATCTTTGATTTAGGGCTGAAGGATGAAAGGAAATCTGTGAATAAACAAAATCTACAAATAAGCAAAGAATGCTTTGTCAGTTGGTACTACTAGAGTAGGCCATATCCACATGACTCACATTCTATGGGCACAATGACCGGTGCCTAATCATGACCCCCAAGATTGGCAAGCACTTTTCCTGTGAAGCTGCTGGTATGGAAACTTGACCCTTGTGGAGACTACACTGACTACACCATGGCGAAGATGGAAAAGGTAAAAAAGGGTGAAAAGACCTTTAGGTAGCCAGGAACCTAAGGGGACACATTGCTAATAATAGGATGCAGATGGTCTGTGCTGATCCTCTTGACGAGGGGTTGCTTGGAAAACTTCTGTAAGAGCCAGATACTAAATATTTTCAGCTTTGCAGGCCATACAGGTTCTGCTGCCGTTACTTGACTCTGCTACTGTAGGGCAAAAATGGCCACAGATAATGAATGGGCACGGGCATGGCTGTGCTAGAATACAACTCTATGTATGGACACTGAAATCTGAATTTCATAGAATTTTCACCAGTCTTAAAATATTCTTTTGATTTTTCCCCCCAACTATTTAATATGTAAAAACCTTTCTTAGCTCATGAGGTAGCTAGCCCCTGCTCACCAGAAGGACTCTAGTCATCACTCTGATAATACCCTCAAGCTTTGAAGAAACTGAACACACCAAAATTAGCCTGCCCCTTCTTCCATGACAGCAAACACCCCAGAGAAACATTATGAGGAACACTATAGGTAGCCACCACATTGTGACTTCTAGCCAAATCATCTTTGATTTCTATCACAAGTTGAAAAACCTGCCTTCAGTTTGATTTAGGGATGCAGGATGAAAGGAAATCTGTGAATAAATGAAATCTATAAATAATCAAAGAATCATTGTATCAGTCTGTATTACTTCTAGGCCATACCCACAAAAAAAAAAAGAAAGAGAAAAAAAGTTAAAGCTGCCAGGAGATAATCATTTGACTTACTGATGACAGTCTAGCTCTTTTTCTTCTCCTGATCTTTCTTTTTGGAGAATGAAGAATAATTAACCAAACATATACCCAGTTCTTGAGTATTTAACAGCGGCCAAAGACTCAGATTTGCAGTCTAGAATGCCTACTTGGATAAACCACGACGATAAACAAAACAATTTATTTTAGTCCAATTATAAGAATTTAATTAACTTTATCAAATAAATAAATGTAGAACTTGCATCACTTTATAAATACCACCACCAATACATACAAATTCAGGCAGCAATAGTCATGCAGCATGTTCTGTTGAATCCACTTTTTCCAAGGGCTAACTGTGCTTTAATCAGAAATGAACTCTGGGGGTGGGATAAATCTACTACTTTATTTTTCTCAATAAACATGCTGAATTTTAAAATGTTTCCAAAGAGGTAAATAAAAATTTGGGGACTTTTATGATGCACCCTTTTGCTATATAAAAATCATACTGTTCTAAAAAGTTTATATATGTAGTTTGAATTAAAAAAAATATTAACTGGCTAAAGAAAATAACTTTTGAGGAAAATCCTACTAAAAATGTAATCTGTCATAAAAGATGATAACTCATTTAAAAAATCCTTTCTATCCTGAAAAGTCACAACAAAAAGTTTAAGTGTGTTTTGGCTGATTTTTCTCTGCAACTATTTGAAGCTGTAAATGACTTAACTCAGTAAAATTCCAAATGTAATTATCTTCTGTACTTAGCCTAGGGCTCTCCATATATCTCAGCATTGCTGTCTTGCATACAAAATAGGCTTTTCGATGGCTGGTAACAATATAATGTACAACATTGTTTTAATTTCCCCTAGTCGGGTAACCTCTTGCCTACACTAAACCAGCCAGAGGAAGAAGCCACAGTGAGTCATCCAGCACTCAAAAGCATTTTGGAACTCGACGGCATAAATGGGGTTTGCAGGGTCAGGCTTTTGCAATTGTACATTTTAATAATCTCGATTTCTGACCCAATTTTTACTTTTAGAAACTAATTTTCTATTAATTATACCAAGAATGAAATTATTGTTAAAATATAGTAGCTTATCATGTTACACCCGGAAGTAGAAGCCACACTGGAAACAACTCTGTCTCTCACAACTGTGATCCCCAGGAAAATCTGCACAAGTTTATTTTCCCTAGTCATAAAATACACTTGACATAGCTCAAGGAATCTCCAAATACCAGATTTTACATATATATGTATATACATATATATGTATGTATATATATACATACACATTACAAGTATTATATATGTCAATATGTGTGCTTGTTGATTCAAAATGTGCACAGTGAACTCTCAATTATTCTCAGTGATGGAGAGAAAAAAGGACAAAAGCAAACAAGGAAAAAACCCACACACAATATCTACTGCAACTTTGAAAAACACGGCTTGTGTGTGCTCCCTTGCCCAGTATTGGTCTTGCTTGCTCTTTCTCTCTTCCGTCATATCCAAGTGCTTTTAATTTCTCTCCCCTCCAGCTTGTCTTCCTAGCTCCAGTTTAACCATATTAGCAACCTTGAGGACTTACACCACCAACAACAGATAACCAGAAAATCCCACAAAGAAGGGAGAAGGGAAGAAATGTGAGAGGTGGAAAAGCTCAAAGTGGTAACTGAGAGTTACGTGCATACACATAGATGCCCAGGACCTGGAAACATCTGAGCAGCAGTTCCAAAGAATAAACTGAGACTGAACTTGCCCAAAGAGTTTAAAGAAAAAAAAATCAAATAAAGGACAACAACAGGTCTTGGACCTTCCATTCAATAATGAGTACACAGGAACTCATTACAGAACACTACAGAAATTTGGAGTTTGAGGCATACTGAGGCAATATTAAAAATAAATTTGGTTTTAC